GGGAAGGACACTACCATCTATTCAACCACTAAATTAAAGAGTCCGGGATTCGGCCTTCACTTCTCCTATTCCCATTCACATCTTACTGAATCCCAAATCTCAAGCCATCTCTTTATCTAGTGACCTAATTGTTGCTATGCTTTTATTTCTGTAACAGTATCCTCGATGATATAACTAGTCTTAGTCTATCTTCACATTACAACAAATTACTTATTTAAAATGCAAACCTGAAAACTCTAATCCTTCACCAACACACCATGACCAAATAAAACTCAAAGATTCTTCAGCCCCCAAACACATTTCTCCCACACTTCATATTACAGTAAAGGCAAACATCTGAGTCCTTTTACCTCTGCAGCTTCTTGATAATACATCTTTAAACATGCCCTTTTTGCTGTAGAAACATTTTCCAAACTTTCTTCTCAACAATGCAGAGGACAGATGCTAGGGAGAAGAAAGCTTAAATGGGAAGAACAGTGAAATGGAAGGAGCATGCAAGACAGAGTGAGACTGGGATCTAGATATTGATACAGAATGTAGCAAGCATTTGGTAAAATGTTTTTCTGAACCAGTCTTAATATGTTCTTCTAAAACATACTCTTGCATAATATCTACTTTACTGCCTCTTTAAGCTTACTACCCTCTCACCTCTTTTGTAAACTAAGAATTATAATGTGTTCTATGCTCCAAAACTTCTCCATTTTCTCCACAAAAATCCCAGATAGTAAGCTAGCAATCTCAGGTTTACATGATCTTATCCCCAACACACTCTCCCAAAGGCCTTCATTCAACAAAATTTAGTGTGTCTACTTCTGACTAAAGCACTAAAGTAAACCACCAACTTACTAAATGGGGAAATACTATGTTTTCGTTTTTTTACAGTGTAGCTTTCCTAAAGCAAACACATATACAAAAGAGATAAACCACAAAAAGGTGACCATTTTAACAGAGGTATAAACTAAGTGCTCTGGGGAAAATAGAATAAGTCCCTCTTTTTGACAAGAAAAGATCTGGGAAGAATTCCTGAAGACCATGGATATGTGATACAAGAAACCACCTCAAAGAAGCATCCTTTGTAGCCAGGTCACTATAATAATGCTCCCTACAATTAAGTCTTTGTCTAGGCCAGACATCGTGGTACATGTCTGTAATCTCAGCATTCAGAGGCTGAGGCTGGAGCAGGGAGTTTTAGGCCAGCCTAAGCTACACAGCACCATATCTCAAAAGTCCTCATCTAGACTAAAATTGAGGCTTCTGATTCTCAAAAAAAAAGCCAGTATTGGGGCTGGGAAGGTGGCTCAGTGGTAGAGCCCTTGCCTTGCATGCATGAGGCCCTTGGTTCGATTCCTCAGCACCACATAAGCAAAAAGAAAAAAGCCAGAAGTGGCGCTGTGGCTCAGGTGGTAGAGCGCTAGCCTTGAACTAAAGAGCTGAGGGACAGCGCCCAGGCCCAGAGTTCAGGCCCACAACTGGACGCAAAAAAAAAAAAAAAAAAAACCAACAAAACCCGTATTAAACAAGAGCCATTTGTTGGTTTCTTGTATGCCTTGAAGTACACATTTGCAAAGAAACAAGATGAAGGATAAAAACCAAAACCCTAGCAAAGGCTCTTGGGATATAGTATTAAGGGTAATTTGGATGTTTTCTTTTTTCTTCTGTACTACTGTAATTTCCTCCCAGATTATCAGAATGGGTAGATTTGTTACTGTAAATAACAATGTAAGATCCATAAGCACATACAAAAAAAAAAGTTCCATTAATAACCACTTAAGTGTTTCATCAAACATAAAGTAAACACACAGGATGGAAATCAGGTTCATACAATCTTTCTGGTGGCCAGTCTGCACATTATCTTCCAAAAACCCTAAAATGGAAGTTTTGATTTAACAATTCTACCTCCAAGAAATTTTTTCAAGGAAAGGACTCAAATACAAACAAACCATTCAGAGGCATGTATATACATATCACTTACAATAGCAAAACATTAAAAACAAGTTTACTTTCCAACAATTCACTTATTCATTTAATAAACATTTATTGAGTGCCTAACTATGTGCCAGGCACTGGAGATACAGTAACGAACAAGCTATACAAAAATCCAGTCCACATACCTGCCCTCATTGGAGCTCACAGTCTAGTGGGAGTAGAGGATGAGCTATCAATAATAAAGAAAATATGTGCACAGGGTATTTGGCATGTAACATTTTCTACAGACCACTGAAGGAGTAATGAGAGATAAGGAGTAAGAGGGGCACAGGGCAAGTTGTACAGATGGTCAGGAAAGTTCTATGGTAGTAGCATTTAAGAAAGGCTGTAAAAAGTGACTAATTCATACCTAGGAGTGATTTACTTCTCCATTAAATCTATCACATCCTTTTAAGTTGTTTTGATGGTTCTGTAAAAATTTCTTTATCCAAATATAATCTGTAGCCTAGTGATTTTATCGATTGTCAGGTCTAAACCTACAGGTGTGTTCTAGCCCCACCACAAATTTCAGTGTTCTCCCATCTTCACAACTGCCCCCACATACAAATAAATCTCTTTATTTTATCAATCTCTCATTAAACATATTTTACATTGTTCATTACAAGAATGATGACCTTCCTGGAAAGAACATCACTAAATGTTTCTGTATCGTTCAGAGATACACATTCAATTCAATGCAATCACTGAAATCCTTGATACTTCCCTCAGATCCATAATGTAGAAAAACATGGCAATAGTCCCTATCATCCTGTGCTTTCTAGCTCCGGGTCAACGCTTTAAGAGCTTCAAGGAATTTTGATACATGACACCAATAAAGCAGTGCCCACTTATACCTTCATTCCTCAGTTTATTAGCAATTTCTGTGACTTAGGGTAAACTTGCACGGTAACAAGAGGTAAAACCAGATAACACTACTGGCTTTAGGAAGGGATCAGTTACTGCCCACTGTTAAAACTATCTCAATTCAAATTTTGCCTAAAACACTAGGCTGACCAAACAAAATACCATCAAACAAAACTTCAGAGAACCAATGAAAATGAGGGTGTGTAAGAGACTACTGACAGATGGTTCAAAGACACAGAAATACCTAGAAATGATTTGCTGTTTAGGAATGCATGCTGTAGAGCAGGAGCCAGCCAAATTATTCTGTTTAGGGTCAGAGAAATTACTTAAGCCCCGAGAAGCTAATGTAACTACTAGACTTGTCAAAGTAGCATAAAAGTAACCAGGTAAGATAGAAACAAATGGGAATGGCTGCCTTCCAGTAACACTTCACAAAATTTTACAAAAGCTTTACTTACAGTCCCATGGACTGCAGTTTGGCAACCTATGATGTAAAACATCAAGCTAAATGTCAAATAACAAGTATTACCAATTTGTTTTGTTTCTCTTAATTTCTGGTGTTGCTATTTTTACCTATTGACAAGACACTTTAAAAGATTTTTACTATGTTTTTGTAAAGAAAAAGACATAAGGTTTATAAATGAATACAAGAATTATAAATTCAAGTAACAGCAGAAGAGCTGCACATGAAGTGCTTCGCAAAGTGAACTACATGAATTTAAATCCACCTGGTAAAATAAGTAAGGCGTGACTAAAGATTCAACTATTAAAAAAGCTCATTAAAATATTTTTATAATAATGAAAAACTGACAACAATCTCTACGTACTATATCTGGAGGACTAGTTAAATAAATGATAGTACATCCATACAATGAAACTATTTAACAGAACAGAAATATTTATTGATTTTAAAAAATGATGGCTTTGATTTAGATTTTTTTAAGTTACAAAATTGAGTTACAGTATGATCCCATTTCTGTGAAAATAAATGTACATATATATACAAGTAGATACATAGAACCACCTGGAAAGATACACCAAGATATTTACAGAGATTACCACAGATGGTGAAATTTTGGCTATACCTTCTCTATTACTTATAATTTTTGATTTTTGTAAATATTAATTTGGTAGTAAAATGCTCTCTAAAATAGAAAGTACTAATACAAGTGCAGCATCACTTGGGTCAGTATTTTTTAAAATAAACTCAAACTACAGAAGTTGCATCAACCCTCAAATAGTAATTTCTCCTCAGTCTCTAAATGTTAGCTAGAAAGGTTAGGGAAATCTAGGAAATACATAAAAAAGGAAATGTATACCGCTGGGTAAGTTTGCCTAAGAATCTCAAATCAGGAACTACTACAGAAAGTCTTATCAAATTGCCTTCACACCTCAATAATCATGAATGTTTAAGGCACTAATCCAGCTCATCAACTATAAATACTGTCTCTGACATTACCCAAGGGGTTGTTCGAAGTATGAATGGAAAAAGTAACTATCATTATTCACGCCACTGAAGAGAGGATCTTCAATCATCAACTTTTGGGGAAAAGGAAGAAGAGGGGGGGAAAGTCACACTACAATGTGATGGATCTCAAAATTCCATGAGAATTCCATATTCGGGTCCAAACAATCTGTAAGAGACTCAAAGGTCAATTAATTGTTATTATGGCAAGTGCTAACTCAATTCTAGCTGGGCTACTGCTAATAGCCAGTATAATTCTGGACCACCTGTCTAGCCCACCAATAAAATAAAATTTAAATAACACTTCAATTAAAACTATTTTTTCAAACAAGTCTATGAATAGCAATTACAAAACAGAATTGTAGCAGAAAACATATAGATATTAAAATGTTACAATTTTATTTATATAAACTTATATTTACCTAGACAAAGACTTAAAACATAAACAATGTTCTAGGATGGTGGATTATGGTGAGTTTTAATTCCATTACCAACATATAACCAGACCAAGAAAAAAAAAAATCAATAAAATAATAGAATATAGTCATTTACAAAATATAATTTTATTACTGACCTAGTCATGTTATTTTGAACTAGGCACATAAAGCAAAATTTCAAAAACATGCACATTTATAGACTACCCAATACCTGTATTATTAACTTACTACATACTGCATTATCAAATAGGATGAGACTTAAAACTCACCATTCAGGCCCAAAGTTCAGTGTCTGAGTTTCTGCTGCCATTCTTCTCCGTATTTTTACAAAGAATTCTATATGTGAAGAAACCTGTTGAAGAGAAAAATAGCTCCATACAGTTAGTCAAGATGAAGTGCAAATTTCAAGCCAGAATGTACAACAGAGTATGTTGGTAGTGCTTTATTTTATCTCAAGTGAAATCCTAAGGAGATTTTTTAAATTCCAATTTATAGCAATATAGCAAGCAAAGTGAAATTAAATCTACCCTACTCTCCAAACTAATCATTTTCTCATATTTATCTGAGGCAACAAGATACAGAGTCAGGGTCTGGGAAGGTGGCTCAGTGGTAAAGTGCTTGCCTTGCATGCATGAGGCCCTGGGTTCAATTCCCCAGCACCACATAAGCAGAAAAAAGCCAGAAATAGCCCTGTGGCTTAAGTGGTAGAGTGCTCGCCTTGAGCTGAAGAATTAAGGAACATATCCAGGCTCAGAGTTCAGGCCTCACGACCAAAAAAAAAAAAAAAAAAATGAGATATAGAGTCAATTAGTGAAGCAAGCAGAAGCAGACAAATTAAAGATTTTTCTCTATTAGCTTTAGAGCAATAGACATGAATAAAACACATTTACGTTTCTCTCTTACTGACTTGGAATAGCCCATGTAACCCTGAGAGACAAGGATTCTTGGCATCTAACTGGAGATTCTCCAGTATCCACCTCCCCTCTGAAATTATAGGCATGCACCATTTTATTATTAAGGACCTCCTCACATATCTCAACAGCATCTGCTCTACCTCTTCCTCACTTCCTGGTTAGCAATTTGTACACTGGAGATGCTTTAAAAAAATTACCTTGGGTCAAGTTAAAATGATAAAGCCAATGCATTTCAAAAGTAACATTTCAGAAGCAATAATAAACCAGGTATAGTGGCATGCACCTGCCTAGTATGTACAACGCTCTTTAAAAAGGAAGGAGCTAACCAATAGTAGTAGCTCACACCTGTAGTTCTATTTATTCAGGAGAATGAGATCTGAAGATAAAGATTCAAAGCCAGCCCAGGCTGGCAAATCCATGAGACTGGTATGTCCAATTAATCACCAAAAATTCCAAAGTGATTCCTTAAGTAGATGGCGTAAGTGGCTTAATTAGAAAGCCAGCTAAGCAAAAAAGCTAAACTCACATCTGTAATCCTAGGTACTCAGGAGGCTGAGATCTGAGGATCATAGTACAAAGCTAGACAAGGTAAGAAAGTCTGTGAGACTCTGTGAGATCTCCAATGAACTACCAAAAAAGCTATGGCTTAAGTGGTGGAACGCTAGCCGTGAGCACAAAAGCCCAGGCCCAGACCTGGACCAGACCCAGGAGACCGGACGACAGACAGACAGACAGACAGACAGACAGACAGACAGACAGACAGACAGACAGACAGAGAGACAGAGAGACAGACAGACAGACAGACAGACAGACAGACAGACAGACAGACAGAGAGACAGACAGAGAGACAGACAGACAGACAGACAGACAGACAGACAGACAGACAGACAGACAGACAGACAGACAGACGGCTTAAGTGGTAGAATGCTAGCCCTGAGCACAAAAGCCCAGGATCAGAGTTAGCCCCAGGATACAGACTCACACACACATGCACACACACACACACACACACAGCCTTGAGCACAAAAGCCCAGGCCCAGAGTCAGCCCCAGGATACAGACATACAGACACACAGACACACACACACAGCCTTGAGCACAAAAGCCCAGGCCTAGAGTTAGCCCCAGGACACAGACACACACACAGACACACACACACACACACAGACACACACACACACACCAAGATCGTCTCTGACACACACACACACACACACGTCTCTGACACACACACACACACACACACACACACACACACACACACACACACACACACACACACACACACACACACACACACACACACACACACACACACACACACACACACACACCAAGATCGTCTCTGAGTTCATGCCACAGTACCAAAAGGGGAGAGGGGAGAAAGGGAAGGAGGGAGTGGAAAAAATAGAAAATCAAGGTATATTAGTCTCCATAATCAACTATTTGATTATCTGTCCTCTTACTGGAAGATAATTTCTGGCCTTCTGTTAGTGGACTCCACAGTGTTTTCTACACTTCCATCAGACCTCCTCCCTGCACAGAGCTGGGGTGAGACCCTGGACTCAAGCTGAGAGACACTTAGTGCCCTCTTCACTTTTAAGCAACTGATGTTTGTTTGTTTTTTAAACAGACCAATTTTCTTTTTTATATTTTAATTTTTCTGGTTAGACTGCATCTTAAATAAATGTCATGTTACAATTGCCACTGCTGGGGTATAGCCGGCTAACTTGTCTGCACATGGGCAATTTTGGTTCTAACTACTGCCTAAATACCTTCAAAAATTATCAGAAGAGGGGCTGGGAAGGTGGCTCAGTGGTAGAGCGCTTGCCTTGCATGCCTGAGGCCCTGGGTTCAATTCCTCAGCACCACATAAGCAAAAAGAAAAAAGCCAGAAGTGGCGCTGTAGCTCAAGTGGTAGAGCGCTAGCCTTGAGCCGAAGAGCTAAGGGACAGTGCCCAGGCCCAGAGTTCAGGCCCCACGACCGGACCCAAAATAAAAAATAAAAAAAATTATCAGAAGATTCTGCATTAAAACTTAGAAGCAAAGAAAGGGGTGACACTGTCCAAAAAGAATTGTACTCACTACCTGACTTATAAAATAGTAACTCCTCTCTATATAACACCTTAATAATAACAGTAAGATTCTTTTTTTTTTTTTGGTCGGTTGTAGGGATTGAACTCTGGGCCTGGGTGCTGCCTCTGCACTCTTCAGCTCAAGGCGAGCGCTCTACTCGCTTGAGCCACAGCACCACTTCTGGTTTTCAAGTGGTTTATTGGAGGTAAGAGTCTCACGGACTTTCCTGCCCGGGCTGGCTTTCAACCGCAATCCTCAGATCTCAGCCTCCTGAGTAGCTAGGATTACAGGCATGAGCCACCGGCGTCCAGCTAAGATTCTATTTTTAAAAAAGAAAATTTATTATATAACACAAAGGAAGAAAAACAGCAATGGGATATAAATGATATAGCTATTCATTAATGGCAGAATAATCCCAAATCCTAAAAAAAAAAAAAAAGGGGGGGGGGGGGGAGAAAGAGGAAAGGAGAGTGAGAAAAAGGAGAGGAAAGAAGAAAGGGAAGGCGAGGGAAAGAAAAAGATTAAAAACACAGGAAGAGAGAGGAGGGAAGATGGTGAGGGAGGGCACAATGAAGATCATTAAGTTACCACTCCTATATGACACTGCACAATCCAAACAGTCACATGCAGCCCATTGAAATATTCAAAGGGGTTAAAAAATTACCAGGCTTAGTAGCAGCTCTAACCTCCACTAGTCAAGAGGCTGAACAGAACAGAACTTTGGGAGTTCAGCGCAAGCTGAACAACTTATAGAGACTAAGTCTTTTAAGAAAGAATATAATGAAGAGGTTAAAATTAAACCATTTAGGGCCAGAAAGGTGGCTCAGTGGTAGAGTGCTTGCCTTGCATGCATGAGGCCCTGGGTTTGAGTCCTCAGCACCACCTAAACAGAAAAAGCCGGACGTGGCGCTGTAGCTCAAATGGTAGAGTGCTAGCCTTAAGCTGAAGAGTTGAGGGACAGTGCCCAGACACAGAGTTTAGGCCCCACGACAAAAAAATAAATAAATAAACCATTTATACATACACATATGTATATATGTGTGTGTATATATATATATTATATATATATATATATATTGCTGTTAAGGCTTTCACAAGTAAGCTGGGCACTAGTGGCTCGTGCCTATAATATCCTAGGTACTCAGGAGGCTGAGATGTCAAAGCAGTTTATTGGAGCTTCAAATTGCAATCCTCAGATCTCAGCCTCCTGAGTAGCTAGGATTAGAGGCATGAACCACCAGGACTCAGCTTGAACTATCTTTTCTAAGGATATAGTAAGTTGTTAAAATGTAGCCAAATGTTTTCAGTTCAAACCCCCAAATGCCTGTGATCTTTAGAAAATGGTTATCAATTTATAAAACTACTCAAGATTTAAACCAGACTCTAAACTGTGTGCTGCCTTTATAGCCTGCCTTCTCTTGAAACTAGTTCCTCCTTTTCCTTCACTTCTAGCACTATCCTGGTATTGTTTCATTTTTTTCTTTATTTCTCTTCTTTCTTGCCTCACAGCACCCATGATACATTATATTATAAATTCTGTTCTATTTTTCAACATTTTATAACTATAGTAATGCTCTTTACTAATCTTATGGGGAAAACTCTACCCTCTAAATTGTAGAGTAGCCACTAGACACTATGTTGAAAATGAGAATGAGGGAAGGGGAAACATGTGCAAAAAGAAATGTACTCATGCCAGGTGCTGGTGACTCACACCTGAAATCCTAGCTACTCAGGATGCTGAGATCTGAGATTTGAGGCAGCCCAAGCAGGAAAGTTCAAGAGAGTCTTAGCTCCAATTAACCAGAAGTGATACTGTTGCTCAAAGTGGAGCACTAGCCTTGTGCAAAAGAGCTCAGGGATAGCGTCCAGGCTGAGTTCAAGCTCCACAACCAACAATAACAACCAAAAACGTACTCGTTACCTGATTCTGTACTGTAACCTCTCTGTACATCACCTTTATCATAACAATAAAAAAAATGGTGGAGGAGCTGGGAAGGAGGCTCAGTGGTAGAGTGCTTGCCTTGCATGCATGAGGCCCTGGGTTAGATTCCTCAGCACCACATAAGCAAAAAGAAAAAAGCCGGAAGTGGCACTGTGGCTCAAGTGGTAGAGCGCTAGCCTTGAGCTGAAGAGCTGAGGGACAGCGCCCAGGCCCAGAGTTCAGGCCCCACCACTGGACCCCAAAAAAAAAAAAAATGGTGGAGTGGCAGAAAGGGCATTTTAGAAATGGGAAAATATTATTAAGAGCAATGAAAAATTCTCCCACGAATTTCTAAAATGGCCCATTGAACGGAAAGGGAGGTAGTTTTTCACCATTATATCGGTCAACCAGGCTCAAAAGGCCAGCATCAACTAAAACTCCT